CTGCATAATTTACAGAAGTTTCTGAATAATTCATAGTAGTCACTGACCTATAAGTCTCATAATTAAACTTAAAGCTCTAATATGTAAGATTTGTTTGTTAAAATTGAAAGACGTAGCATTACTGAGTCAGGAGAGAAAAATACTAAAATATGGTGAGTGTGCGGTGCTGCGAGTCGCCATGTAAAGTCTGAAATAGTCATTTAAAAAAGTTAGAGGTGCTGGGTTGATTTTTTTTTGTTTTTTTAGAATATTGTGCATCTTTTTACATATTAACAACACAGACACAAACGGGCAAAATCAGCATTAGTATTAGTAGTAGTTCACTTACTTCATGTTAATAGTAGTAGAGAATTTACTCACATTTTCCGAAGACACGCCCTTCACCAATTTTTCCCGTTGAATATTCTCTCAACGCGCTGGCAATCATCAGATTCATCCACTCAGGGAAGAGATCCAAAGCACAACTGACGTTACAACATACGGCATGCAATTACACACTTCCACCAGAGAGGTCTCCAAATCACCAAATCTCAAAATTTATATTTTTGGCTTTAATAATAACTTTATTTTGTGGTTTTAATAATAAACCTAAATTGCAAGCTGTTGCTTTTTGATGGACATTCTATAATAGAAGTCATACAAATTTACAGCTGAGATGCAACAGCTTCCACATGAATGTAGTTACTGCAGTTCAGTGGCATTATGGATGCTAGCATGAGATTCAGCAAATGCCAAAATCTCTGCATGCACTCTGTGTGGTCCGCTCTTTGTCCTTGCTGAAATGAAAGCAAGGTTTATTTCCTGGATTACACAGAGGCAGAGTGTGTCCGCACGGTTTGGTAGCGTCAGGGTAAGTGCGCCGGTGAAGTGTCGGCTTTTGATGGCAGGCTTTCTGAGTTTGACGTTTTGTTTGAGCCAACTGCCCACAGTGGCCACTCAGTGCGGTTTAGGGGGAAACAGCCGAGCATCTACCCACACACTCTCACACACGCACGAGGCCAGGATGTTTACTCTTCTCTCAGGCCTGCTCCTGTTCCTGCAGGTCTGGGCACCATCATGTGAAGATCACCTGACCTGCCTCTTTTTCCAGCTCAGTCCGCTCTGTTTGGAAACATAAACACCGCATATAAATATCCATGTAATTTAGATTGGTTAAGTGCGTTCACCCAAAGTACAGTAAGTAGTCTAGCAGTAATGCTATCCCCTGTCTCAGTGGGCACTGTGCACTATATTTTTATGTTACACACTACTGTATGTGCTTCACTATGTAATACCTGGATTTTTAGAGTCATATGACGTTGAACATATTTTGCGCTAAACCGAAATGACAACACTGAAAACTGATCTATTTAATTTTCTCATTTCAAATGTATGCATAATTTCTACATGAATAACATATATGACATCAATATAATTGTTGCCAAAAGCTATAAAATAAATGCAATGAGTTGATGTAATACGTTATATTCATATGGAAATATATATATATATTTGAATCAAGACAATTCATGTCTCAAATAATGACTTATCTTCACAAAATATTGACTTAATATCTGATAATAATAACTTTCTATAAATGTTCACTTATCTGATAATAGTGACTTCCATTCTCAAAATACTGGATTAACTTCTGAAAATAGACATCAAATTGACTTCAAAGTGACATATTCTCTATTTATTCTTGTAATATCTTGAAATAATAACTTTTTTTCTCAAAATATTGACTTGCTATCTCAAATTTATACTTATTTTCTTGAGATTTGCAGTTATTCAAATGAAATTCCAACGTACTGTGTAAAAAAATAATTTAATGATTATTAGATTTCAAGAATGTAAGTAATGGCGTCTGGGTACGTCATAGTTTTTTTGACATAGTAAGTCATTCCTTTGAGAAAATAAGTTATTATTTTGACATCATAAATCAAAGGGTTGTGGGTGATTTATTTCTCTTCTACTGGGCAGGAATGGGCTTTGAAAAGCCTCCATAAAAACAAGCTGCCAAATAAAATACCCTAACATTTGTTGTTCCTCACTGCCATCAGCCCTGTCAACTACATCATATTCTGCTGTGTTCTCCTCAACACTGTTAGAAAAAGAATACTGTGCAAGAACATTTTTCTCCAAACTATGCAAATGTACCCTGAAAAGTACAACATGGTCCTTCAGTTAAAAACGTTTTAAAGGTACATATCATTAACTTTCCCAGGTGAAAGAAAGATATTTGTATTTTTGAATAACCTAGAGTTTTAAAACAGAAAAATAAAAGGTGTGGAGTCAAGCCAGAGAGTATGTAGTCAGTGCAACTTAAAAACTGTAATGTAATATGTTACACAATAATATGCAAAATGTAACATTTTTGTCAGTTCTAGTACATAACCTGAGCATTAACAGTGCACTGTATGCTTACATAAAGGTTTTTTTAAGCAATTCTTGGCTTGGACGTATGGTTCTAAGGCAAAAAATAGTATAGAACCTTTTTTATTAGGTGAAGTTCTTCATATGTTACATTAAAATACACTAAAAGATTCTTTATGGAACCAAAAGTGGTTCTTTTATCACATCGCTCTAAAGAACTGCTACTACACTGTGGAACTGAGACACAGCTTTCGTTCTAATGCAAAACATTTGTTTCCAGAAAGTGTGATATTCATGATGATGCATTGTATCTAATGTAAGCAGAAGTTCCACAGAAGGCTGGAGCACCTCTGAAATCCTAAGTATTTTTGCCCACTTTCCTCTCTCTTTCTCTTGCAGGAGTGTGGTAGTGCAGGCCAAGAAGCCTCCAGCAGGCAGCATGGCTGTCAACACCGTGGTCAGTTCTGGTTCCTCTAGTGCCCCAGCCTCAGGCAGCACCCCTAACATCTTCGCTGCGGCTTCGGCTACTCCTAAAAGCATGATCAACACCACAGGTAAACACAGTTAACACTTTCATTTTCTCCGCTAAGACCCCTTTAGGGGGAAACTGTTCCTTTTTTTCAGCCCTTTAAGTGCCTCTTTTGTTAATCGCAGATATAATAGTCACAATCACTCTCTGTGTTGTTAATTAGCACTTAGTTTGAATGAAGGAGGGCTACTTAAGTGAATTACCTCTGAAAATATCTTTGCCTTTGATGTCATTCCTAGAATGCCGTAATTAAAAACGGTTGGGGCTCAGGAAATTAGATTTTGCTCTTGAGGAAGTTCTGGAAGTGTCCACTAGAGGTCTCTCTTCACTGCCCCAGTGAGCTCACCCACAGCCAGAGCTGATCCAGTCAGTGCCTGCTGGGAAAAGCAATATTATAATACTTAGATTCACATTATGATAGGGTCTGTATGTAATTTCAAGGCTATTAGCCTGTTATATCCATGTGTAATCCAGCCAGTATAGATTTTTGTGTCCAATAACAATAGCAGAGAGACATTGGTTATGCTAACGGCTAATCCTGCCATAAACTCTGCCTTGGGCACCCTGTGAAGTGGTGTTAACCCATTCACCAGTCTGGCTGATTTCTTATTTAACTTTGACACTGTCAAGCACACCTATTGAGCATCTTGCTGGGAAGATTACCTTTTGTGTTGAAGCACTGAGAAAGTCATCAGAAACTTGTCAGACTCAAAGGAGTCTTTCAGTACAGCCCGCTAACCTCAATTTTAGATGGCTAAATGCATAAAAGAAGATTGCAGCCAACCTAAGGGTGCATTACTGACACCTGGCTAGATCCCTCCACTCTGAGGAAAGGGCGCAAGGGAAGGCGGGGTGGAATTGATTTCGGATTTGACCGAATTCTGCCTTCCTCTCCTAGCCTAGCCTCACCTCTCCTGCTTGTTTCTGTTCTCCGAGGGATGCTAGTTCCTGCCAAGTCGAGTGACGGCTGTGTAATAGAGTTCCCGTCCTCCGCTGTCTCGCGACGCCTCACGCTTTCACGCGATGACAGTCCATCCCTATGATATATCTATCACACGTTGGGAGCTAAAGGAGACGCCGCCGAGACGAGGCTTTGACAGGAACAGAAATGAGGAGAATGTAGACAGTGATCAAATCTCTCGCGGGGAGGAGGCTGATTGGTGCTTGATAGCTGCTCTTGATGTACTTGCGCTGTTTCCTGCTTGAAATATGTCATAATTGGACATAGTGACATTAGGGGGTTGGTGACAGCCTTCTGACGGCAGAAAATTTTGAAAGAGTTTTTTAGTGCATTGTTTGCTTTTTGTTGTTTTATTTTTTTTCTGAATTGCACGTGTATAGATGCTCTTAGATGTTCTATCAGTGTTTGCTTCTTGGCTTAACTCTCAGAAGTTTTGTTGTGCTATACTATTCCAATATAATAACATAATCACATATGTAATTACATAGTGAGCTCTGCTGTTACATTTACATTACAATTAGTTTACACTGATTTTTTTACACGTTCAAATGTTAAATGTTCAGACATTTTTCCATTTGTTTTGATGTTAAGAAATGAAAAAACAAAAAAAAACATGGGGAAACATAAAGGATGGTTATGCTTTTCTCAAAGCAAGACTACGCTCAACAAGTTTTCATATTTAACAAAATATGTCTTCTTCTACATACAGACACAAAAGTGGTACCGATTGAAAGTTTAGAGTCTTTACTTTTAATAAAATAAGGGAGAAATGATTGACATAAAATTACATCAAATTACACCATGTATCACCGAAGAGTGATAACTGTGACTTCTGAGGATTTAGGCTAATACTATGCAGTTGATAGTTATATATTTCCTGTGTGTTCTGTGTTCTTTTTATCTTAAATGGTATTTGTTCTGTGCACCTACACCAAGAGAAAAGAAATCACATATAATCACATTATGTATTTCCAAATAACATTAATAATGTATTCACTTTAGATTTACTTTATGGTTCAGCTTAATGTACTTACATACCATGACTACATAGAGAGCACTGAATGGTGGTCATTTCTGTGACCACTTCTCTCCGTTTTCTGTCTAACAGGAGCTGCAGATCCTCCCTCTTCCTCCTGCTCGTCTTCCTCGAGCTTTGTGAATGGCGCCACCAGTAAAAACCTGCCTGCGGTGCAGACTGTAGGTCCAATGCCTGAAGACACCATGGAGAACATGAGGTGAGTCACAGCACAGTAGGTGTGTGTGTGTGTGTGTGTGTGTGTGTGTGTGTGTGTGGAACGCAATGAAGAGTGAACTTTATGTGTATCTGAGCAGACAATAAAGAAGGCTTGAAACTGTCACTGGGGCAGTTCCCCTCTTCTCACTGGGGTGGTTCTCAGCACCTTTAGTCAGGGAACATAACTGTACTATAATCCATTGAAATTATATTTTCTAAGTTGTACTGACTCCACACACCCCGTCTCGTCTCCAGGCTTTTTATTTTACTGTTCTGTTTTAAAACATTCGGTAATGAAAAGATACAAACATGTACTTTTTACCTGGAGAAATTATTTAAGGTAGACAATTGGACCTTAGAACCACTTGTTTTATTATATTTATATATTATATATGAATAATTTTTAGCGTGTTGCTATTTACACATTGTCAGTGTTGCAAACCATGTTTCACTTTTTTTTTTAATATATTTTTCTATATCATTTGAACACAGCAGCTATCTATTAAATTTCATGATTAATGGACCAATAGAAATGCTCCAAAATGACTTGGAATAAAATCTGCTTTAAGTTTCGTTAAAATAGTTTTGCCTTCTTTCACTTTTTTTTTTTTTGTACTTTTTGTTTTTGTTTTGGGTTTCTTTTTTTTGAGGGGGCAGCAATGTGTATATATATATATATATATATATATATATATATATATATATATATATATTATATTATTATATTAGTACTTAGATATAACACATTACATACAGGAATTTGAATTTATACACACACACACACACACACATATATATATAAATATATATATATATATATATATATTTATATATATATATAAATATATGTAGATAGATAGATAGATAGATAGATACATAGATAGATAGATATTTTCACACGCAAAATGCATGACACATATTACACTTAAATACTCACATATGTATAATACATATATATACATACATATTATTATTACATACAGGTAGTTACGTACATCATAAGCGATGTGTATATATATATATATATATATGACCCTACATGTTAACATTGTCTAAAATCAAGAGTGTGTGTCAATCCATTGTAGAAACAATGGCAGCAGCAGAACATTGCCACCAGAGGGGGTCTGCACTCAGCCCTAGCCATTAGCTGCTTTCCGACACTTTCTTTTGTTTCCAGCTGAGGTGAAAGATCATGTGGTTTGCTTTTGTCATTGTTGTGGAGGTTGCAACAAACAAGACATCCTGCACCTTACACATCACTGAGGGAGTTCTGTGTGTGTGTGTAAACTGTCAAGCGAGGCAGTGTAAGTGCTAATATAAAAGAATTGGTGGGAGTGTGTGTGTGTGTGTACGTGTGTGGGTGTGGAGCATTCTGACCTTAGGACCGTCCACTGTCCTCATCTAACACTTTGTGACAGAAATCACAGAGCCCAGCCACTGTGACTGCAGAAGAGAAAGTGTGAGCTTCTCTGTGTGCGTGTGTGTATGTGTATGTGTGTATGTGTGTGTCACTCTTTTCTCTCTGGGGGTCTCTCCACTTCACACACACTCCTCTCCTCCTCTCTCGCGCTACGAATCGCAAATCAGTTGCCATGGCAGCAGTAACCGACAGCACTTACGGCGAGTGTGAAGTCAATGATGAAAGTGTCTGGCTGCAGCGGCACTGCTGCCTAACCTGCGGCTCAGACACTCGCTCTACATCAGCAGCAGCTTCCACTTCAACAAAATCACTTCAGCTTACCTGCAGTTCAGCAACGTTTTAACTATGTTTATGCATTTCTATTCACCTAAAGCGCACAGTGTAGCAAAAACTGAGAACTATATGAGAAGCTCTGACTATTATATCTTATACAGGGCGAGTCTGAAGTCAGGAACCACTCAAATAAGATGCTTAATGTTAAAAATACCATATGGACACCCATTGGTCTAATGCATAATGATAATGATGAGATCAGTCTAACTTTAAGCGCTGGTTTTCCAGACGTAGATTAAACCTAAACCTGGAATAAATGGAACTTGTAATGGTAAAATACCATTGGCATTGCAGTTTAGTCCAAGACGATCCATATTCACAGCCCTAAATGTCGTCGCTGTCCTAACAAGAAAGCGAGTATCTCCATTGTTTCCCCAATTTTTATTTTTCTACATCTTTTAAACACACCAGTTGCCATTACATTGTCTGAAAATTGAATGATAAATATGGCAATAGAATGGTCTACAATAGCTTGGAATGAAATCTCTTTACATTAATTTGCATTAATATTATTGAATTTTGTATGTCTGCCTTTCACTTTAATGTCACTCAGGCTTGCATGAACCCCACAAGTTTTGCAAAAGCCTTTGATGAGTAGATCAAACCCTCCTGAGAGTCATCTGGACATAAGCCTCAGTGGAAGAGATAAGACTAAAAAAAGAAAAAAACATCTGACCTTTTTGTACAGGCCTTAACCCCTTAAATGGCCAGGGCCCACCGGTGGAATAAGTCAACCAGTTTGCATTGAAGTCCCTGTAGTTAATAAGCCTTAGTAATAAGTCTGATATTTAAAGGAGTTAACATAGTCAATATCACACATTTTCTTAAATTTGAATAGTCATATAGAAATAGTGCAGAATCTGGATTATTTTACTTATATTTCATAATTTTACATAACTTTGGATTCTTTTACTTAAATTTCATAATTACATCATTTTTTATTTACTTATTTATTTATTTTGAAATCCTAAAACTTTAAACAAAGAAATAAATGGTAGTGTATTGTGTTTTTATTTATTTATTTTTTTAATTGTGGCAGTTGCACATGATTGTTTAATATGAAGAAAGCTGCAGTTGTGCTGTTTTGTTTCATTACAGCCATCCTTGTGGCGAGGTGTGAATTGTTTTCACAGCAGGAGATTCCTACCCCTCCCTTACCCCCTTACTGCTCACTAGCAGCTCAACACAGAGTCACAACATTTCACACACAGACAGCCAACAGTGTCCTAGTTAATCTAATAACAGAGTTACTGAGAAAAGTATTTTATTTGCTTATATCAATTAATATCAATCAATACCCATTCCACCTGCAGAAAGGCCTCTAGCAGACCTGCGGAAAAGGGCTGATGGACAGTTCTCCATCATATAGTGCTCACAGAATTTATTGTAATCATTGATCAATTGACCTATGCTTTTCCTATGAATGCATTCTTTCATAGCTATTGTTGTGGGCTTTTGTTACTGTTGTTTGACAAGGTTTTAGAGAATGTTAAAAACAAAATCACATTTATTCTAACACAGTTAGAGTTAGAGTTTAGAGTCACTACAAATGTTGAGTTTCCAATTTAAAAGGCATCAAAACTTGACACAGAATAGGGAGAGACCTAGCCAGTAGGTGAAATTGGTGGTGCTAACTTTGGGGAAAAATCACACCACTTAACTTTCTGCAGTTCTGTTCTCTTTAACTGCCTTTGCTTCTTTAAAATGTGTGTCCCCTGGAGTGCTGTCAGCTTATGGCCTAGCAAATACTGCACCCATGTTTTGTTCTGCTTTAATATTACAGTAATGTCTCTCTCTCTCTCTCCCTCCCTCTCGCAGTATCACCACTAAGTTGGAGCGTGCCCTGGAGAAGGTGGCCCCCTTACTGAGAGAGATTTTTGTGGACTTTGCACCCTTCCTGAGCCGCACTCTGCTGGGTAGCCATGGCCAGGAACTTCTTATAGAAGGTATAGTATAAATGACCTTCTCAGTGCAGACGTCTTCCTCACTGACCTCTATGGACATTGATCAGGTATATGCTGGACAAGTTATGAATCATGCGACTAAGCACAAGGACAATAGTATAAAAAACAATAGAATCCACAAATTAATACAAATATACACTCACTGAGCACTTTATTAGGAACACAATATTAATACTGAGTAGGGCCTCGCTTTGCTCTCAAAAACAGCCTCAATTCTTAGTGGCATGAATTCCACGAGATGTTAGAAACATTACTTTGAGATTCTGGTCCATGTTGACATAACTGCACTATGCAGTTCCTGCAGATTTTTCACAGTCATGCTGTGAATCTCCTGTTGTACCACATCCAACGGTGTTCTACTGGATTCAGATCCAGTGACTGGAAAGGCCACTGAAGAACACTGAGCTTATTGTCATGTTCATGAAAAGAGTGTGAGATGACTTTTGCTTTGTGACATGGTACGTTTTCATGCTGGGCATGACCATTACAAGATGGGTAAACTGGGACCATGAATGGATGCACATGGTCAGCAACTCAAATAGGCTGTAGCATTCAAACAATGATTGATTGGTATTAATGGGCCCAAAGTGTGGCAAGAAAACATTTCCCACACCATAACATCACCTCCACCAGCCTGGACTGTTGATACAAGGCAGATTATTACCTACCTTACTATCTGTGTGCCTCAGCAGAAATTGAGATTAATCAGACCAGGCTACGTTTTTCTAGTCTTCACTAATTTTGATGAGCCTCAGTTTTCTGTTTTTGGCTGACAGGACTGGAACCCGACATGATCTTCTCCTGTTGTTGCCCGTCTGCCTCAAGGTTCAATGTGTTATGCATTCTGAGATGCCATGAGTTACCATAACGTTTCTGTCAGCTGGAATCAGTCTTGCCATTCTCCATTGACCTCTCTCATCAACAAGGCATTTCTGTTTTGATGCATTTTGAAATTTCAGACTTCACCCTGATTCGATTAGGTTATTTCAGGATTATTCAGAATTGTTTTTAAAAATACACTGAATATACAAATGTAACTTGAAGGACTACTCTCACACTAGTGGAATCAGGGTTATTATCGTTAATGAAAACTATTGCTCAAACACTAGTAATGACAAAATGTAATGTGTATATATATATATATATATAAAAACTCATACACACAGCAGCTAAAGTTGGTGTGTATGAATTAGAGCTCATTTGCCTGAACCCCACGGGATCTCCCTGCTCACGGCTCACATTAGGTTTGGTTGGGTTTGGGCGTCATGTGCGTCCTCACACACCTCTTCCCACTTTTAACAGATTTTATCATTTGCATTTCTCCTTGTATTCATCACTTGGTTCTTTCTTTGCTTTCATTGCCTTCATCTGGTATGCTGGAGGCACTCCCTTGTGGGTTTAGCACTGAGATCCATGAGAATAAAACACTTTTGCCTGTTGTTGGAACACACAGCTTGATGAATTAATTTATTAAAGCAGAATTTTAACTTTAGACAGCTGATTCACTTATTATACAACAGTATTTCATATTATTATTATTATTATTATTATTATATTATTTAATCATTATGTGATAATGTAATAGTGCTATCCTGTCTGGTTTTAGTGGAACTTTAGGTGATGATGGACGTAAAACTTGGGGCCAGACTCACACAGAAAGTTCTCGAGCTGTGTTCTGATTTTTTGTGTGGTTTTGCCTGTTTAAATGTCTAGAACGGCTTACTGTCTTTACTGGAGCACATTTGTTTTTGGACTACGTTGTGTAGTGGTGGGGGAAATAACACACACTCGAATACCCGCACACAAACACACAGCAGGGCATCTTCTCGTTGAACACGACCGCACACTCCACACTCTGTTCACTGCCTCCTTCCAGCTCCACCAGCAAACCCAGCACGAGCCTCAATGGCAGTTTGTTCAAACTAATGTATTCCTGCAGTTATTTCAGACCTTCAGCCAGAGGATTACAGTGCAGTAAAAATATGTGTTCCTGTGACTGGAACAGCCGTTTAATGAAAGAAATGCACACACACACACACACCCTTTCAGTGCTGGACTCAAACCTTCACTTTCCACACGTTATTGCAGCCAAACTCCTGTCTTTAACTGGGTAGTCTACTTACTCAAGTCTCTCCAAATTTAGATGGCTTCACACGGTGGATGTTAAGTGCTGAAATTTGGCGTAAAGTGTCAATTTCATAGCCTTATTAGTGACACAGTAAAGTTCACTTGTTTCCCGAATGACGCGATTGGTCAGCTGAGTTATTACCCATGAAAACTCTCGGGCTGCTTCTTATAAGAAAAGCTGATGATTTTTCAAAATGTAAGTGGAACTGTGAAAATACAGCTTTAATTTTGGAAGCCAAATAAATCAAGCAGAGTAGAATTAACTGCGAGCGTTTTTTTATTATTTCTTCATAGCACCCACACTTTGCTTTCTCCCTTTGATGTATTTTATTTTTGCTGAAATGCGCTTTTAAGTGTTGGCTGTAAAAGAAGTTTAAGAGGCGCTGAGAGGAAATAAAAAAAAGAAAGAAATAATTAAAGCTTCAAATAATGATGGATTCTTTTAATGAAAAGGAAATGGGCAAAAAGAGAAAGGAAAGGTGAAAAAGGGTGTAAATGCAAACCACTCTCAGTAATGCAGGCATCAAACAGTTTGCTATAACAAACCATAATCAAGATAAAGGAAGGAAGAATTGTGAAGATTGTGAAAAAAGTGTGACCACGGGTCTGACCTTAGCCTGCCAAAAGCCTAAATAAACTTCTACTCTACTTAAACAAAGGACGCTGTGCTTGATCAAGGCAGCCGATGCTCTAGCAAACACAGACTAATCATCCGAACATCTGAACAAACTCAGTTCCTGTTCTTCAAACGTTCTAATGCTAAGTTCCATCATGCTGTGACTGAGCCACGTTTGCAAATGACTTTATTTGCATTTCTCTTTAGAGCACATTTCTCTCTGAAGCTGTTTAACCTTAAATGCATATCTCCGGTTGATAGAGGCTCGTGGCCTCATTTTTGTCATAGAAGCAGAAAACAACACATCAAAATAGAACAGTATAAAGTTTTATGCAGAAGTTTGGGCGCGCTGGTCAAAAGAAATATTTTGTTGATTTTCAAAGTGACACATCCTCCACAGAAGACAGACCACTGCACATTTTAATGCACAATTGCAGTCTGTTTGCTGAATTAAACATATTGGAAGAAAATAAAACTTGTGCAAAAGCTGGCGTATTTTATATTTGTTTTTTTCTGATATGTTAAAAAACATGTTAAGCAAATAAATAGAGATTGTTTACTTAATTTTGCTGGAAAATGCAACAGCTCTTCTGTGTAGAGGATGTGTTATCATGTGAAAATCAACCAAACATTGTAATTTAACTAGGTTGTTCAAACTTATGCATATGACTGAGTAATTATTTGTCATATCAGGTACTTTGTACTGCTGAGTATATGCATATTTTTTAATGATTTTGAGGAAGGCAAAGCCAGTGCTGTGTTTAAGTTTGTGCTAATGCTTTAGTTGGTCACCCAGCCAAAGATTATTCTTTCTTAACATTAACTTACACTGTGCTGTCTAGCCAACTTACTTATCACACACTGTTAGAAATAAAGGTTCTGTGCAGGTACATTTTGCATTTATCACAAACAATGTAAATGTACCGTCAAAGGTACAACAGTGGTTCTAAGGTCTAATTGTGTACCTTAAATAAGATTTTCCAGGTAAAAAGTACAGATTTGTACCTTTTCATAAACTAATGTTTTAAAACAGAACAACAAAATAAAAAGCCTGGAGACGAGACGGGGTGTGTGGAGTCAGTACAACTTAGAAAATATCATTTCAATGGATTATGGTACAATTATGTTCCCTGACTAAAGGTTCTGAGATGTACCCTTGAGGAAACCTCCCCAGTGACAAGAGGGGTACTGCCCCAGTGACAGTTGAGTACCTTTTTTTCTGAGAGTGTAAGACTCATGACGTGAACAGATACACTGAAAAAAGTGACACACCGAAGAAAAGATTCATTTACTCCTTGATTTAAATGTGTGCATCAGTCGAATACATGAATAAACTGTATTACATCAACACAGTTCAGTCTTTTAATTTACTTATTATCTGTAATAACTGCATTGATGTAATATTCTTGCAGAAATTATTTACAGATTCAGTTATGTAGAGTGGATTTAAGGCATCACTTTATTATTATTTTATTTCATAGCACAGAGTAAATACATGACCGGATGAATATTACTAACTACGCTTTTATTTATTTATTTATTTTCCTAATATGTTGCCATGTCAGTTATATCAGTAACCTTGTCTAACCAAGTGATCTCAAAAGATCTAGCTACACCCCTGCCAGACATCCATGCTCCAATAATAAACCTTCCTTTGAATGTCACCTAGATCTTGCCATCAGTATACCTGTCTGGGAGCATGTGCACTCATTAGCCTCTATACGTTGCATAAAAAAAACCTGACCACCTTTAATGATGTACAAACCACTCTGTGTCTGATTCATGAAACTTTCATGTGATGTGCACACAGGCGAAGATTTGTGCGCAAATGATGAACCAGCTTCAGTGCATGAAATCAAGTGCCAGCATACTAGTATATTGTTTACATGTCATTTATGTGAAGTATGCCCTTATTCATGCAAATGTTTCAATGGGAGACAATAAGATGACAATGTTCAGGAGCTTGTGAACCAGTGGCTATGTTCATAGACACAGTTGGGATGTAATGGAATACAAGTATTGGGAATATGTATTCCAAATACAGAAATGAAATATCAGTATTCAGTCAAAGTTACATTTTGTAAATTCAGTATTCAGAATACAGTTACATTTTACATTTTGAGGAGAATACTTTTAGACTTCTTACCCACTAAATTAAAAAAAACGTGCCATCTTTAAAAGAAACACCATCAGTGCTGGTTTATTAAGTGTTTTAAAATCAGTCTACAGGGTGTAAAGA